CCCCAAAACCCCAAAACCCCAAAACCCCAAAACCCCTATAAAGGTAGGTTCTATTGGATTTTAAGTTAACAAATATTTAATTTGATGATGGAAAGAAGTTGTTTAAAAACAAACCTAATCAAGATTTTCATGTGCTCGATAAGTGGATGAAGCTTATTTAGCAAGCAAAGTGTGTGAAATCTGACTCATACTAAATGAAGGGATCTCCAGATTTCAAATAAAGGGGATTATACTGTGACTAAACTGATGTTAAAGCGGCTCGTTTTCAAGATTATTTTGTTTGCATTCTCAGTATTTGGGTTATTAGTACCTTTTGCTGAAGCTCAAGCTGTTAACGGGTAAGCCCTTTGTTTGACCTAACTTGTTTATTCTCTCGCCTGTATCTTTATCTTTGCATATAGAAAGACTTGTAAAGAGATAGCACAAGATTACCCTAACAAAAGTTGCACAAGAGATATCATGGCTTACTCTGAAGTTGGAGGAACTTACATTGTGGAGAGTATCCTACACAACTTTGGTGACAATACCCACTTGTACTTGATGTCAGAAGACTATATCCAGTCCTTTGTTGTATTCTCCAGACTTAATATCTCTACTTTAACCTTTGACTGGAGTATTAAGGAGAATAGGCAATTTGAAACCTTTGCCATTTCTCAGAGTGGTCAGACTCTCTTTGCTGGGATGGATGGTGAAGGATCAGGAGGAAGCATTTTTGTTTATGTCTTTAAAATTGTTGAAGATCAGACTGGAAATTGAGCAAGTTGAGGACTAAACTTTGATCATGCTCTTAGAATCGTAAGCCAAGTTTTTCTGAACTCTTTAAGAGACTTAGATACAATATCAAATTCTGTCTTTTCATATCCTTTTGCTAGAAAATTAAAAAATGCTACTTTTTGATATAAAAAAATTGTTTAAAAGTTTTTCACCTACAAGCTTCAAAGGAAAGTTTTAGTTTGAAAGTAAAATTTTGTTTAAAACTTTCCAAGGTGACCAAGACTCCATTAAGGAAAGAACATCAATAAGCATTCACACTTATAAATTCCTAGAACTTATAAGGTTTGAGAAAATTTACTAGAATTAAAATCGGATCTTCATTTTCATCTTGGATATTTTCTACCTTTCGGAAATTTTTAGTATCCATGAAGCATCGAAAGCTAAGATTGTGCTCCCTTCCTGTATATAACTCTTAGGACTATTAGTGGTGTTCCGATAGACTCCATTAAGCATAAAAGACAGTTGCGATGTGTAATTAGTTGGTTTACTCCAATCATTATATGATTCTCAAACAAAAGGAAATCACTTTTTGACAGAAATGGTTCGACCTTTTTAATAGTTAAAAATTTTACACTTCTTTTAGGGAGACACAATTTTTGAAACTGGAAGGTTACATATGCAAGTATTGAATGAGACACATATCTGTACTACATTGAGATAATGTTTAGACTCTATTGTCAATACTATTGATGTCAGTGTGGAAATAATCTTACTCAATACTAATGATGGAGTTGCCACATACCATGAATTCACCAATGCAACTTATTATCTGAAACAGATTGTTTACAACCAGAAATTAAACTCTATAATGGTGAGGTGATTTATAATCTGTAGGCTCTTTATCAAAATCTCCCAACAATGCATTTCAGAGCAAACATTATAGGATTATCTGATAATTCTATATCTCAAAGTGTAGGTTTGAATTGTCCAGAACATGCTGGCTCTTCCTGAGTTCTGAACACGAATATTCCATTTGCTTCTAATGATGATAAAACTGTGGTATATTTCTCTCAAAATTTCTTTCCAGTTGGAACTTTGTTCTTTTCTTTAAAGTTTGATTCTGGTGATATGATAAATGGAGGTACTCTTACACCGTCAGTTGGAGTCTTGATGAACCATCATTTGACATATAGTAATGGATTGGTTTATTATTCTTTTGAGGCAGACACAAATTTGTTTGTTATTGCTATATTTGACACAAAAACACATTCTTTCACAAATGAAGTCTATGAGTCTATACATGAATACAAAGATTCATTTATTTATGGTGGCAGGTAATTTTGTGTTCTTATCTTTAGGATCTATTTCCTTGGGAATTTTGGAATGGATATCTCTATCTCATCATCTAATGAAGGTAAGTTTTATTGCATAAATTTAATTATTGGAGAATTCTTAGGAGTTTTAGTAAATATCGCATCTAAAATTTAGCATTCTTATGACTTTAATAACACATTTTAGATTTCTATTCTTATCATCCTGACATCTCGAATTCAAATACAACATTCTCTCAATCTTCCAGCTTAGTCCAGACAACTGAAGTAATGAGCCTCAAAAGTTTGGGATCATACACGTTTACCATTTACTATGACAACTCAACAAAAGAAGTAAACTACCAGAAGAATCCTGAAGTAATTTTCTGTATGATCTTAATCTCTCTAGCCAGCATTCAAAATATTCCTTGATCCAGTCTTCTACGAATCTGATTCCTCATTCAAAGTTTCTAAAAGTTCTAATACGAGTGTTGATTACTGACCAATAGTTTCGAGATCTCAAGGCCCAATCTATGACTATAATTTTATCAACTTAGACTCAGAAGCTAATGCTAAATATGAATTTAGTGTTGATGCCTCCACTTGGAACCTCACCATCGCTGATATCTCCAAAAGCACTTTAGATAGCGAAGGAAATTATACAATAGGTAAGTTTTGGAGTCGAGACTAATTTGAATAGAAATTAAAACAGGATACAGTAATTCTACATTCAGCAGAAATATCAGCTTTACCGAAACAATAGAAATTGAGAACGATCAAGTTGTTCAAGTCATACACAAATCTGCATTCTGGCTATTTATTTTAGTATCCTTGATCTCCCTAATGTTAGGAGGAACGCTTTTAAAAGGGATTTGGTTGATAGTAAATCTCCAAAAGATGCTACTGTTATTCCTCCTGATAGATACATATATCCACCCCTATGTTCGATTGATAATCACAAAACAAAATTTCTTTTTATTTAACTTTGATTTTTTGAATACTTTGTATGATAATTTCCTAATCAATCACTTGTTTCTCAATGGAGTTATGAATACTCCTCAGAAAAGAGACGAAATGATTGAGCTTGGGTATACTAAGGAAAGTACCCTGCTAGGATTCATAGCCTTAGTTTGGACTCTTATTCTCATTTCACTTTTCTATTTCTTTGTGATGATAATTAAGAAATGATTAATCAATAAATGGTAAGATCTTTACTTATTTGACTTTAATTAAACATCTTTTACTCAAGCTTCATAGTTTTCATTTAGCGTTAAAAGAGAAAATCTACAGAAAAGTAGTGAGCAAACTTCATTCGATAACATTTTCTACTACAGAGATGACATCTCTGAAAATAACTCCAACGAAGGTTCTTCTTGATGATGTATTTCCCAGAACAAGTGGAAAGAATTATGAAAAAATATGAAAGAACGGATTGCCAATTTCCTGAGTTATAAATTCTATGTCAGCCTGTTGTTAAGATTGCTCATCGAGTCTTTTATGGGAGTGCTTATAGTTGCATTCAACGAAGTGTTAACTAACGAAAAAGAAACACTCGAAGAAAAAATATCCTTCGGAATAGCAATATCTTTCATCTCAATATATGTCTCATTCTTTATTTCTGCTTGGGTAGTTTGATGTTGTCATGAAAGAAAAAGAGAGCCTGAGCAAAATAATAAAACTAAAAAGAGACAGAGCCTATGGTATGAAGAATTTATTAAGGATATTTCATCTCAACAATATGCTGCTTTTCATCAGCCTCTTTTAATGACCAGAATAGTTGTCTTCGTTATTTTGATCATGATCTGCAGGGAGTCTCGTTTGGCATCGATATGGCTATTATTTACAATGCTCATAGCACAATTCTGCTACTTATGGCAAGAATGGAAATTTCCAAAATTCGACTGTAAGATCTTAAAATGTCTAAATTGGACAAATGAACTATTCCTAACTTCCTTCATGCTCTTCTTCATCGGTTTCAGAAGATACACAGACTACCAAGCCTGTACTTACTCATTCTCACAAACATAGCCTCCATAAGATCTATTGCGATTCTCATGATCTTGCTGAACACAGGTGCGGTTCTGCTCCTCCAATTGGTATTTATTCTTCTCTAAACTACAGTTTTCTGTCCTCTATACTCTAATCCAACTTTGCTCTCCAAAAAAAGAGTTCAGTCGCAATGCAGACCAAGAGAGTCAGAATTTCAGCCAGAGAGGGAGGCAGTACCAATATGGGCAGGAAGGACAGAGGGTTTGGGTTGAAAAGCGAGGTAAGGGAAGGGGATTGAGTGAGGGTGAATGAGGAAGGGGATCGGAGGAGGATTGTGGGAGAGAAGAGCTAGAATACTATTGGGCTAGAGTGGGTTGGAGGTATTGATACGTATTAGGGGGATAAGAGTAGGATTTAGGTTATGAAGTGGCTTTTAGGAATTATTGATATAGAAGAGAAAAAAGAAAGTTCGCCAAGAAATAATAAAGTGAAGAAAGAAGAAGTTGAAAATCAAGGAAATGAGAATATAAATGAAGAAGAAAAAAAAAGAAATATATGACAAAACGAAAATAGAGGAAAGTGTAAATGAAATTCAAAATAAAATGGTAAGATGAAATAATACAACAATTACAGAATACAAAGAGTAATTTTTATAGGACAATCAAGAGATTCATGAAGAAAACAATACTTCTGATTGAAGAGATCATAGCCAGATTCATCTACAAGATATTAGAAGAATCAAAATCCCCTCGACTTCTCTTCCTTTCCACCCAACCCCTCAGAGACCAAAATCCCACTGTCATTCCCAGCCAGCTCCAGCCCTACCACCGCACCTCCTCTTCAGTCCTAGATCCGTCCCTCCTCTTATCAGTCATCGAGAGCCGAATAGAACTGGGACTGCCGAACAGCTCAGTGCAGGACACTTTGGAGGAAGTGAAGAGCGTGAGATAAGCTTGAGCCAGTGCAGGAGAAGAAAGATGAAGAAGAAAGGATTTAGAAGAAGAAAAGAGGTTTAAGATGTTTTAAGTTTGGAATTTGAGAAGAAGAAGTTTTAAGGGGTTTTGGGGTTTTGGGGTTTTGGGGTTTTGGGG